GCACACACACACATACACTGACACATAGACAGACAAACACACACACACACACACACACACACACACAGGGGCACACACACACATACACAGACACATAGACACACCTACAGACACACACACACAGACACACACAGACACACACACATACACACCCACATACACACGGGGGCACACACACACATATACAGACACAAAGACGGACAGACATACAGACACAGACACAACCAGACAGACACACACACAAATACGTGAGACGCACACACACACACACACACACACACACACACACACACACACAATCACACGCACACAAACACACATCGCGCCTCGCTTCCCTTCAGTCTAGCACAATCATACTTTTTTGAGTGTATAGTGAATATGACAGCACACACACACACACGCACACATGCACACACACATACATTCACACATACATTCACACATACATACACACACACACACACATATGCACGCACACACACATACACACAAACACAAAGATAGACAAACACAGACACACACACACACACACACACATATGACACGCACACACACCCAGACACACGGAGGCACACACACACATACACACACACACGTGACATGCACATGCACACACACACACACATACACACACATACTCACACACACATACGCACACACACATACGCACACACACATACGCACACACACACACGGGGTTTTGCGTGTGGTGCAGCATGATGTGGAACCAAATCCGTAGTGGGGGTACATACACACACACACAGACGTGATACACACACGCACACACACACACACACACACATACAGACACACATAGACACACACACAGACACACACAGACACACACACAAACACACACAGACACGAGGGCACACACACACATATACAAACACAAAGACAGAGAGACATACAGACACAGACACACACACACACACACATAGACACACACACAAACACGTGACGCGCACACACACACACACACACACAATCACACGCACATAAGCACACATCACGCCTCGTTCCCCTCCAGTTTAGCACAGTCATACTTTTTTGAGTGTATAGTGAATATGACAGCACACACACACACACGCACACACGCACACACACATACATTCACACACACATACGCACACACACACACACATACGCACATACACACACACACATACACACAAACACAGAGATAAACAAACACAGACACACACACACACACACATGTGACACGCACACACACACAAACACACAGGGGCACACACACACACGGGGTTTTGTGTGTGGTGCAGCATGATGTGGAACCAAGTCCGTAGTGGGGGGGGGGGGGTGCGGGCGCCCACCCCTCCCCCCGCTACTTGAATTAAAAAAAAAAAAATCATATATTCCTTAGTATATGTGAAAATCAAAACATTCATGCGCACTTCTTAGCGGCCCGGTGCGGGTTTGGTGGGTGGTGAAGCAAGATATGGATCCAAGTGCAACGAGAAGCCCCCCGCCTACCCTATTTAAAAAAAAAAAGAATAATGTTCTCGACTATTCTTTAGGAAAATATATATATTCATTCGCAATTCTTAGCTGCCACAGTTTGGGTTTTGCGTGTGGTGCAGCATGATGTGGAACCAAGCCCGGTGGCGGAGCCCCCCTCCCCCACCTACTTGAATTTAAAAAAAAATACATATATTCCTTAGTATACTTGAAAATCAAAACATTCAAGCGCACTTCTTACCGGCCTGGTGCAGGTTTGGTGGGTGGTGAAGCAAGATATGGATCCAAGTGCAACGAGAAGCCCCCCGCCTACCCTGCTTTACAAAAAAAGAATAATATTCTTGACTATTGTTTAGAAGAAAAAAAATTGTTCATGCGCACTTCTTAGCTCCCACATTTTGGGTTTTGAGTGTGGTGCAGCATGATGTGGAACCAAGCCCGAAGTGAGGGGGGGGCCGACACCCCCCCG